CAAAATCAAACAACCCTTCCTGACTTCATTTTGCAACCACGGGCGGCAGGGCGGACCAACTGGGGTCCAGGCTCTGACTATGACGGCAGGGAAAGACTGCTAACCCGATCGGGCACAGCACTCCACAGTGTGCCAACAGCCATCCACAGCTCACGACTTCTGGAGAGGACACTGTTAAGAGTCCCAGAAGCCTTTGGATTGTCTCAGCAAAGCCCTGCAGTGTGAGAAGAGCAGCTCTGGGCTGAGGGATTGATTCTAGCCACGCCCACGAATACTAAGGGGGCTGGAAGGGCTGCCTTCCTGCACTTCCCAGACTGACCCCTGAACTGGAAGCCTGGGACCTTGGCGGTGGCTGCTGGACAGTCACACGTCGTACATGGTGGGCACAGCTCAAGTCCTTTGCTGCATTCTTTCCGTTTAGTGATCACCATAAACCCACGAAGTAGCTACTGTTCTCCTTACACAGGGAGATGCGGAAACTGAGGCACACAGAGAGGTGAAGCGCCTTGCTCAGTGCCACACAGCTTGTAACTAGGAGGGCTATCCGCTCTGAACCGGCATGTTCTCTGCCCTCTCTGGTCTAGACAGTTAGGTTTAGCCTCACCTACTAGTTATTAAAAGCAAGGGCTGGCAAGATGGGTCCGTGGGTAAAGGTACTTGCCGAGCAGGCCTGGTTGACTGAGTTCAATCCCTAGGTGGGAAGGGAGACCCAGCTTTACAAAGTTATCCTCTGTTTTTCACACAGGTCCCATGGCACAGGTACACACACACACACACACACACACACACACACACACACACACACACACACGATAAATTGATATGTATGTGTGTACTTGTGTGAGTGTTTGCACACAGAAGCCACAATGAGTCAGATCCCCTGGAACAGGAGTTACAGGTGGTTGTGAGCCATCTGATATGGGTGCTGGGAACTGAACCCGGGTCTTCTGCAAGAAGAGTTAGCTCTCTTAGCCACTGAACCAACTCTCTAGCCCCCAATAATTACTTTCCTTTTTAAAGCGTAGCTTTAGAGAATTATCCCATATCAAAATCCTCAAGTTTCCTTTGGTTGCATCTATAAAATGGGGAGATGATATACCCCCAAATGCTGTAACTAAAATACATCAGGCTGGGTACCTAAGGAAGAAAAGATGTTTCTCAAGCTCACAGTGGTGCAAGGAGAAAGCCCAAACCATATGGTACCCATTCTTGCAAACAGCACCATAAGGAGTGTGTGCAGAAGCAGGAGCTCACATGATTGACAGGGGAGAGCATGGGGAGGGGTCTCCAGGGAACCAACCGACATCCAAGAAGAGCTCCCTTAATCCCTGTCCCCTAGGACAGGGCCACCCACAAGTGCTCTAATCACTTCTATCAGCTTCTCTTAAAGGTCCCACCACCTCCATCATCATAGACCACACTTCTAACACATGACACATGGGGACACACCATAACCAAACCATCTCACGCACCTGCTGCCCGCACATAACTGTATCTCAGTGGCTTGGCCTTGGGAATACTCTGTGAAGCCTGGGAATGCTATAAAACTGTGATAAAAACAAGTCTTAACACATTTTACTTGGGATTTTTACCAAGCACAGCGGTGGCACCTCCCGTCTGCAGGACCGGTTCACAGAGGAGTAAGGACACATAAATTTCAGGTCTGTTCCTGAAGACACAGCAGGCACTTGAGCTCTATCGTCCCGGCTGATCCCTGGAGGTGTAGTGACAAGCCTGTGGTGGGGTCACCCGCAGGGCAAGGCCTAGGCTTGGCTTTGCTATGCCTGTTCACAGGACCTCCAGTGATCCTCACAGTCCTCTAATGGAGACAGGAGGATTCTCAGCGTGGTCAACAGGACAGACAGCCCCTGACTCACTGTTTCCACCCAGGGGTTTTCATCTTTGGGGTGGGCTTTGGGATGTGAACCCACAGCACACCCAAAGGCATTTGCATTCCCATTTTCTAGACTCAGTGGGGTGTGGGACTCTGCTCATCTGAGATCATAGGCCCTGCATCCCCCAGGCTTCCCTTGGACATTAAGATGCAGGAAAGGGTCCCTCAGCTCCAACTACAAAGGTATGTGGGCATGTTTGGTTTACTACTGATGACTGCAGCTGAGTACCCCAACTCAGTAGTTTAAGACAGGATGGTTGACTCTCACGGGGTTCTGGGATTCAAAGTCCTAAAGTCAAGAGGAACAATATAGGATCCTCTGTTAGGCACTCAGGGAAAAATCCATTCTGCTATTTCCTGCATTTACTTACTTACTTAATTTTGAGTCAGGGTCTCAGAGAGCCCTGTCTGGCCTCATGTTTTGTGTGTAGCTAAGGATGACCCTGAACTCCTGACGCTGCTACATCAACCTCCTGAATTCTGGTATTATAAGGCATGCTCTACCATGCCCCATTTCTATGATGCTAGGGAACAAACTCAGGATTTAGATTTAATGCATGCTAGCCATGCACTGTACTAAATGAGCTGCAACCCCAGCCTAGTCTGTCTGTCTGTCTGTCTGTGACGGCCTTGCCTCTATCATATGGCTTATGATACACAGTGAATCTCTCTAGAAAGTCCAGACAGTCTGACCTTAAAACTCTTCATCGAGGCTGCACGGTCCCCCTTGTCACATATGGCAGTATATTCCCATGATTTGGGGGAGCATTCTGCCTGCCAAAGCTTGGGAAGTCAGCAACTACAGGCCTGGGGTTCTAATGACCTGGGTCAAGGTCAAGGCAGCATCACAGAGGGGCGCCGCCTGCCTCCCAAGCCCCTAAGTGGCTTTGGCAGCCCAGGGTTCCTGAAGGCTGCCGTGGCTTTTACTCTCCACAAGATCCTTTGTCTGAGCCGCCATGAAGGTGTCTCCCACACAAGTGCCTGTGTCCTGAGGTTTTTGCCCAGGACCCCCCTGTGGAAAGCTTGAGATCAGGTGTCAAGGGGCTTTCCAAGGTTTGTGCTGGCTCGGGACAAGGATGTTAAAATGGAAGGAGGTCCTGATAGACGCAGGGCTTCCCCAGGTGTGGAAGACCACACCTGCACATTAATTGGATGACAAATGGCTGCAATTTGCCGGTGCTGCTTTTGGCAAGGCCTTATCTTAACAAGATGCTTATCCAGTCTTCCTCTCTGACTTAGTTATATCATCATATCCTGGAGAGAGTCTCATTGCTAGTTCCTCCTCTCTTCTAGTGCCTGCTCTTTACTCCAAGAGAACCCAAGCTTGAATTTCTGTAGTGTGTGTGTGTGTGTGTGTGTGTGTGTGTGTGTGTGTGTGTGTGTGTGTGTGTTTGGTTTATTTATTTTGAGGTAGGATCTCAAGTAACCTAGGCTGCCTCAAACAAACTACGTGGCCAAGGATGACCTTGAACTCATTCTTCAGCCACCACCTCGAAACTGCTGGGATTACAGGTTTGTGCCATAATATGACCCATTTTATGCAGTGTTGGGGACTAAACTCAAAGCTTGGTGCACGCTAGGCCTGCGCTCTATCAATTAAGCCGCAGCCCCTCCCCCTTACGATTAGCAAAAAGAAAATCACATTGATAAATGCTGCTCCCTCATAACTCAACTATTTCCTTGCTCAAGAAAAAAAAATGACACTTTATTATGGGTAGTAAAATAAATAAATGAATGAATGAGCAAGCAAGAAAATAAACAAGGGCTCTCTGTTTCTCTAGCTGGTCCTCATTAAGAAAACGGTGGGCAGTTCACTGTCGGCACAGGGCTCTGAGGCCAGCAACGCCCCAGCCCATTCCTTGGCGTGCTGAGGGTATGTGGGAAGGAGGGCCACTCACCGAGGAACAGGCCAGGAGCTTATCTGAGATCTCAGCGTCTCATTCAGTCTGCTTCCCCTGTGACCAGGAATAATTGGATGTCAGCTGCTTGTGAACTCCCCAGCTCCTTAAAGGAGTCACACTTCTCAGACACCAGCTCATTTATCCTGCCACATAAAAGAAAACTCACAGAGACGCAGCTGGCTTTCTGAACCGAGACGTACCATTCAGCGGATGTGAATCCCAAGTGTGGTGCGCAGGCGACTGAGGAGGTAGAGGGTACAGCTGTACGCCAGCCTGTGCCTTTGAAGGACGAGCCTCAAGACAGACTTCAAGCCTCCTCATTTTCCAACCATCATTCTAGCATGCAACTTCCCTACAAATCAGGATGCGATCTGCAAGCAAGCCCATGGGCGATGGAATATAGGTCCTCGGGAATGTCAATCACAGAACTGCTGAGCGGCCTGCTAGGTGCAAGACTGGGCTCACACAGCAGTAAGAGATGGAGTTTTCTCCAACTCACATCTGTCCCCACGCACTGGCTGCACAGTGTTCCTTCTTGCCAGTCTTTCTGGTTGAAAAAGAGAAACTAGAACGCTCCATTGGCAAAAACCGTGGGTCTGTGTTTTCCAGTTCTTCGTCCTGAGGAACAAATGGACTTTCTGTTTGGTTTACGTCTTTTGTGTGCATTTCATGCGCGTGTGGAGGTGTGTGCATGGATATTTGTGTGTGCATGTGGAGGCCCGTGGTTGCCACCAGGTACCTTCCTCTGGTGTTCTCTACCTTACTTATTTGTTTATTTACTTATTGATTTTGAAATAGGCTTCTCAATGAACCTGGAGCTTGCCGATCTCTACAATTACTGGCCAGTGAGTTCCAGGGACCCTCCTGTGCCCACCTCCCCAGTGGGGGGACTACAGTGCCGGACACCACATCACACACCAGCTTTTTTCCCGTAAACGTGCGTGCTGGGGATCTGAACTCCGCTCCCTCATGCTTGTGCAACGAACACTCACTGACCAAGCCACCTCCCCCAACCCTATTTGTTTTGTTTTTAATTAATTAATGTTTTTATGTGCATTGGTGTTTTGCCTGCGTGTGTATCTGTGTGAGGGTGTCTTTGGGACTGGAGTTACAGATGGTCTTGAGCTGCCGTGTGGGTGGTGGGAATTGAACCCAGGTCCTCTGGAAGAGCAGCCAGTGCTCTTAGCTGCTGAGCTGTCCCTCCAGCCCCACTGTTTGATTTTTGACCTAGGGTCTCATATAGCCTAGACTAGCCTCAGATTCGGTAAGAATAACTTTGAATTTCTGATTCATCTGCTTTCGCCTCCCAAGCGCTGGGATTCCAAGTCTGTGTCACCACGCTATTGTGGATGCAGTGCTGAGACTCAGACCCAGGGCCGCGTGCACTTCAAGGTGAGCTAACCCTGCCCTCTGTTCCCCCAGCTGGCATCTGTGCCGGGCTCTGCACACCGACAGAAGCCCAGCGTGCCCAGGACTAATTAGCGCCACTGATCCTCTCTGAACGGGCAGCTGGAGGCCCGCCCTGCCCAGGGCCTGCTTGTGCTTGCTCGGGCTGGCTGAGGCCTCCTGTTACCCGGGGGAGAGATCCAAAGACATCTCCACTCCTCTTAGAACACCAGGACTCGGTGGCGCTTCAGCAGGCAGATGAAAGATGGCTGCCAAACCATCTCCATTGAAATCTGAAGAACCAGTGGAGGGACAGAAATAGACCCCTGTGGGCAAGGAGCATGAGTCGGGAAGAAACTTACGCATGGTTACTATGTCTGGGCAGGGAATGCTCAAAAAAGGAACATCTAAAAACAGCTGCCTAACACTTTCATTCTTTTTTTTTTTTTTTAAGAAATAAAAATGAAGTTCCCAAGCCACAGGAGTCCTAGCTTCCTGTACCTTCCCTGACTCAGACATTGTCTCCAGGCTCAGCAAACACACTCTTGGCTTGGGAGTGTTCGGCCCGCTCACAACGTGCCTGTGAGTTTGTGGGAGCGGTGGCCAAGCCAGGAAGGAGACTAGTTACAGGCACAGGATGCCCTACTCCCATTTCCCCGAATCCACCCACTGGGACCAGAGGTATTCTGAGGACCTATGGGAAGATTTAAGAGTGGACATATTAAGGTTAAAACAAAACAAAACAAAACACCACTGGCTGCTATGCGTGGGTATATGTCATGCCATTGTTTGGGCAGTTCATATAAATCAGCCCATTACATTTTGTAACAACCCCAAAATCTAGAAACTGTCAGTATCCCCCACTTTACAGATTAAGAAACTGGGGCACAGGGAGATTAGGAGAATACCCTAAATTCCCTTACCAATAAGTATGGATTTGACCCTGGGAACCCTGGCTCTGAGAACCCCAAGTCTTAACTGCTGTGACACCATGTTGTTAGCTGAGGATGATAAGTCACTCCCAGTTTCCAGACAAGGGAATTGAAGCCCCCAAGATACTGAATTTCTTCCCTAAGGTGGCCCGCCAGTTAGGGAAAGAGGCAGAATTGAACTCATGAACTAGGGCTCCAAATTCTATCTCCTCCATTTAAACTGTGCTGTTGGAGAGCTCTTGCATGGAAGGGAGAGGTGGGGGTGGGTGGGATGGGCAGAGGGAGGGCTGATGTACGCCAAGTAGCAGCTCTTCTCTAGCATCAAGTTCTCCGGAAGTCTGTGTGGGAAAGCAGAGGCACCAGCCTGGCTCGAAGAGGGACTCTTCTTCCCTGAACCCCAGTGTGCTGACTGGTGTTGTTATGTCAACTGGACACAAGCTAGAGTCATCCCAGAGGAGGGAGCCTCAACTGAGGAAACACATCTCTGAGACTGGGCTGTAGGCAGGCCTGTAGGACGTTTTCTTAATTAGTGATAGATGGGGGAGGGTCCAGCCCATGGTGGGTGATGCCATCCCTGGCTGGTGGTCCTGGGTTCTATAAGAAGGCAGGCTGAACAAGCCATGAGGAGCAAGCCAGTAAGCAGCCCCCTCCATGGCCTCTGCATCAGCTCCTGCCTCCAGGTTCCTGCCAGCTTGAGTTCCTGTCCTGACTTCCTTTGGAGATGACCAGTGATGTGGAAGTATAAGGTGAATAAACCCTTCCCTCCCCATGTTACATTGATTATGGTGTCCCATCACAGCAATGGCTGCCCTCACTAAGGCACCCAGGAACCCTTCCAATGTGGTGTCTGGCTAGCTCCGGCTCTGGGGAGTGAGGCTTGCCCGTGTTGAGCTCACGGGGCCCAGGAGAAATGGTCGTGTTCACAGCCTCAACGCCTCACGTCAGGTTTTGAGTGTGAAATGCCCCCAGTAGACTCCTGTGTCCGAGCACTAGGTCCCCAGCTGGTGGCATCATTTGGGGAGGGGGGGTCTGTGGAAGTTTTAGGAAGTGGCGTCTAGCTGGGGGAAGTGAGTGGTTTGCTAGAAGGCAGGCCTTGAGGGGTACAGCCTGGTTTCCAGCCAGGCTCCTCCTACTTCCTGACACCCAGGGGTAACAAGCCACTGGCCACTCCGGCCACCATACCTTCCCTGCCATGATCGATTGTGTCCTAAATCATCAGTGAGAATAAGTGAGAAAGGTAACTAATACAATACCCACCTGGCCAGTCCCTCCCTGCCTGTGGCTGGCGAGGAAACCAGCCAGGTCCCCCAGCCTCACAAGACACAGTCCCTACTCTAGAGGGCGCCTCACCTAAGGAAGCCAGTACAAACGAGTCAGGGACACACCAATAAGCAGTGACTGTGATGAGAGTCATCTTAATGGCCACACTGTCCAATATGGTAGCCACAAGCCGGATAAAGCCAGACATGCTTTCAGGGTCAATCCCGTACTCGAGACAGTGTTTGGAAATGAGAACACAGGCTACCTTAGTGATTTTTTTTTTAAATTAATGACACGTAGAAATGATCATATTTTGAATGCATTGGGTTGGATAAAATACCTTATTAAAATCCATTTCACTTGTTCACTTTTTACCTGTCAGTGGCTACCACAAATTTCCCAGAGTAGGAAAAGCGGGAATTGCTTCCAGAGCAGGGTTCTTCTGAGTGAACAGCAATCAGCAGTAACAGCACAGCCTGACTTGTCTGTCACGTGCCTAGAATGCGATATAATGCTGAAAAGGTGAAAACCTTTTCATTTTGTGTTCCTGTTTTACAGGCAATGTCTCCAGTGTTGGAAAATGGCTAGCCATTTGCCTGAGATCTACAGTGACCAGCATGCGTATTGGGAGGACAAGACCCCTCCGCTCCTCTTCCAGAGCAGCACCCACAGGGCCTGACAGCAAGCCGGGTTCTGCACACACTCACCATCGGACAAGGTCAAATTCCAATTGGCCAAAGAGCTGCCCGAGCTGTGCAATTTGCAGAAAAATCAAATTATGAAGAGGCCTCTCCTAATTGAGGGTAATTCAGGAAATAACTTTCGGTAAATGGCGGCTTGTCCAGCTGTGTTACTGTTGGGCAATTGCTGAGGTCATTTTGTCACCCGGACGCTTCTTCTCCCACTGAAATATGTGGGATTCTGTTTGCACAGACTGCCCTAGAGAAAGCCCATTAGTTCCAAGCATTTATTCTCCACATTTCCATGTATCGAGCAAGAGAGGCATTCCTGACTCTTCCGTGACCGAAACAGAACAAAGTTAGCCATGAACTCAGAGGCACATCACCACCTCAAAGAGGGGCTCAGTTAGCTCCCCCATTCCCAAGGCGCTCACCAGAGTCAGGAAGGGGCTTTTGTGTCTGCTCACTGTCTAGGACCTGCGTGCAGTGGACACGTTTGAACATATACTGCACATGTACAGAGGCATCTATGGCCTTATACATGGTGTGTCTAGCTCGTGCAGAGCCTGAGATCTGACATAAATCAAAACGGACTGTGTTCTCAGTGAGGAGAGAGCTGGCCAGCTCTTGGTTTGACTCCTAACTCTGTCCTAACAATCGGCAATCGCTGACCAATGAAGTTTGACCTTGACCGTGCTGCCCTCAGGGCCAGCCAGCCGCAGAGGTCCCCCTGTCTGTGCACCCTGAGTTCTGGGGTTGCAGGTGCGTGCTGCTGTGCCCTACCTTCTATGTGAGTGCTGGGGGAGAAGAGACAGACAGACGCTCCTGCGTGCGCAAGCCCTTTACTGAATGAGCCATGTCTCCACTCAGCCTCGGGTATGTGGTGTCTTTGACTCTCACAAACCCGTGAGACAGGTACCTTCCTCCGATTCTCTTCAGGCGAAATGGCCCCAGGTCACACGTCTGTGATAGGCTCCCTCACGTCCTTCAAGTGTGCAATCCTGTCCTGTGACTTCAATTGCATCTCATTCCAGGTCTCTTACCTATCCCAGCCTGATTGGAAATCTGACCGGGTAGCTTTCTGCTAGAGTAGAATGGAGCTAGCTGCTGGCCATGGCCAACACAGGCAGCCCACTGTCCCTGGCCTCGCCGCCATCCTCACTGGCCTGATGTCACTTGCCATGAATAATGCAGCGCTCGAAAGAGCGCTATAAGGTAGGGGCGGTTAACGCCCTATTTCGTCTTTGCCAGCCGGCTGCCGTTCCGCATAGGAAACCGGACCTACAACTAAATCAGTCCCTCTTTGGCCGGTAGACAGCTGTTGGGTCAAAGCTAGACAATGAGACAGGCTTGTCGTTTACCAGGTGGCTGGTAACGAAGGGATTAATGCAGCAGGGCTCGGGCTGAGCAAGAGCTGCCCTTCTGGCCTTCCCTGGCAGGCACCACCCCCTCCATTCACCCCAAACAGCAACCGCCAAAGCAGCCAGCCTTCCTCCTTGGTTATCTGGAGGGTGGGTGCAACTGATCCTGGAAACCTCATCTGATGGCTGGCCTACAACTGTGGGTTCCTCTCTTCTTCTCGAAGGGGAGGCTCACGTGTCCCCTTCAGAGGGACCTTGTCCCAATCTGTTATCTGGAGCTCCACTTCCAGGGTGGCTACAGAGAGCAAGGACCCTGTTCTTTGGGAAAACACGGCCTTCATACAGAAAGAGACTTCAGACCTGAGTGACTCGCTAAAGCAGGATGGCTGGTGTTAGATTCAAAGAAAGGTGCCTGCAGCTGAAATCCTGAAGAGCTTCCAAACTCTGGAGCCCATAACAATCACCCCAGAAGCTTTGAGACACACTGACACACTGGCAAAATCCCAGACTAGATAAAATCAGCCATTAGGAGGAAAGGCCTAGGCTCTGTGTGGCCAAAGCTGAGAGGCACCGGTTAAACGCAATTTTCTCACTTGACAGACAGTCATGTTGAAACCAAAAGTTAGGGGGGGTTTCCTTCTCTGGAGAAACCCCACCAGTTAACAAGTGGTACCTGAGTCAGAGGTACAGCTGCTTTGTGAGCTGGGTGCTGCCAGGGGCCCTGCTGTCCAGCTACCTTACCTACCACTCTCTCGGGAACACGACCCAATCTACCTGGGACTACACGCTTCCGTCCCTTCCAGCCAGGCCCCGGCACCAGCCCGGCTCCATTCCCTTTCCCTAAATGTGAATGACTGCGGCCCCCACCCCGCTGTTTGTCCTTGTCTGCAATGCTGTCCGCTCCTAACATCTGACGTGTCTTCAAAGGTCTGGCTCAAAGGCTACCTCCTCTCTAGAGTCCACACTGTGCACAGGACTCGGGGGAGGGGCGCTGACACGCGACACCTCCCCTCATCCTCCGAGAGAGTTTTCTGCTGTGGTATTTTCCAGCTCTCTCTCTCTCTTCTGAGGCCTTTTCTCTCTGTTTATTCTTCTGCGGAACCAGCCAAATGTGCCGAGCGAGCACTGTAGAAGATGTCCCCCAGGTGGGGGCGGGGAACACTTCCTCAGCTCCCTGCCTCCGTGGACCACAGCAGCTTTGTCAACAGACTGGTTTCAACTGAATGGACTCCGGAGTGAAAAACACCAGTGTAGTGGGTGGTAGCCATTCCAACCTTGATCTGGAAGTTCCTACCCCCACTGAGGCTTCGGTAACTGTCACACCTACAAGGCGGGACCAAGAGAGGACCCTGAAGACCCGAGATCCGGATGCACCAGCTCTCTTGGTTCCTGGACCCTGGACGATGGAGGGAGACCGAGCAGAGTTCTCCAGAGAACACCACCAGAGAGTGCCACGCCTTTTCTAGACCCTGCAACCTACCTATCCCTTCACTTGTAAATTACACCACTAAATAAACCTCCCTTTTAACTACGTGGAGTGGCTGTAATAATTTCACCAATACACACCAGCCAATAGCAGAGTTCCTCTTGGAGGTGACTTCTGCTTATCCTGGCTCCAGCCAGGACACAAAGTCCTCTCTCTCCCTGCCTTGGCCAGACATCAGACTCTGGAAGAAAAGAAAACTGCAGGCCGCCACCCCTATAGGACACCTACTGTGCCTTCCACACTACTCCATGGCCTCGGCTCCGGCCACCGAGAGCTTTCTATCCGGGCCCATAGTGGGCCCATGCCTCCCCTTGACATATTAGGAGAGAGATCCTGCTGGAACCTTTTTTCTACCTGGAGGAGAGGGGACATGCTAGGGCCCCTCCTGCAGGCTACTCGGGTCAGATCTCGGCACGCTGTTCAATCTCAGTTACCTTCTGTAAAATGGGGTTATCAGAGACCTTAATCTGAGGGGGTTGTAAAGGTTCAGTGAGGGGCCGGGCTGTGGCTCAGTGGTAGAGAAAACGGCTGTTCAGTATGTGTAGAGCCTTGGGTTCGATCTACAGCAGTTGGACAACAGCAAGATCATGGTTGGGAAATGTCTAGAACAGTCACAGGTGTGTGTTACACACACGCTCAGTGATCACTGACTCTCTTTTCCTCCTTCTCTCTCCTCCCTTCCTCTCTTCACTCCATCCTTAACCCCGTGTTACCC